AGATCAGTGCCAAAAAATGATTTAAATGCTATCACACACACTTCAAAAGACATTATTAAGAGAACAAAACAGGAAACATTATAAGTTCAAACTTGAAAAATTCAAGAGTTAGGTGGTGGAAATCAAGAAAAAATTAGAAATCAATGTAAAAGTACTTTAGAAACGAAGGCTAACAAAGAAAGTAAGAGCAAACAGACAAAAATAACACCCCCAAAGAAATAAGAGGTAAAAAGCAGAAAAATTTTAGCCTACAAGAAATGACTCAGAGGGATGTCTCTGGTACGCCCATGCAGGAGGCCAAGGCCCGCAGATCCCAGCGTGGCTGAGGTCTGCAGGTCCCGCCATATGAGAGCACCCGAGGGGCTCCTGAGCCACCTGCTGCCAGGTCCAGTGACCCTGGGATGGAACCCTCGGAGGATCCCAGCCTCTCCACTCCTCTTGTAGGCATCCGGGTTCCACTCCTTTCAGGCAGGACTCGGCCCAGGTGTTTTGGGGGACCATTTGCTTTCACCAGCACCAACCTCAGCCCTCAGGCCAGCTCTCTGAATGTCGAGGAATTCCAGGACCTCTGGCCTTGTCTGTCCTTGGTGCTTGACCGGGGACCAACTGGGGACAACCAGAGCCCTGAGGGTGACGAGGCTCAACTGTGGTCGACTTGCCTGTGCCTGGAAAGCCTGGCATCCTTTGTCCTGTTGCACCCTGGGGAGCACTGGGCCATCCTCCAGCAGTACGGGCTGCTCCCCTCACACGGATCCTGCCTGTGAAACTCTGGAGAGGCAGGCCTGGGGACTGGTGCTGGGCACTGTTGTGTCCGACTGCTGGTGGCTGGCAAGGCCTCTTTGCAGAGGCTGCTGGGGCTGCAGTGTTACTGGTCTGACCTTTTAAGGCAAAGTTTCTTTCTGAACACGAAAGATAGACCAGGCCTCTGAAGCTGCTAGTTAAGCCTCACACCAGGTTGGGGAGGGGATATTTATTCATTTATTTATAATTTCATGTATCAGCCACAAGCTGAAGAGAGATTTTATGAACATTCCTAGGATGGCCTTGTTCTCAAAAGTTTCTTCTTGCTTTGATTTCTGAAAAATAAATAACAGATTTGGAATCTAGTGAGAGCCTCTTCTCTGGTGGACAGTGACATTTCAGGTCCAAATCAGCTAACACCATCAGTTGGTGCTTTTTAAAAGTCTCAAGTGACCAAAGGCATGAGTTTGTGCTCCTGAAGCTGGGGCGAAGTTAGGATATAAACTGTAGAGCCAAACACTGCTTCCACTAAACCAGGGGCTGGTTCTGTGCTGTAACTGCCTGATGGAGGGTCATCATATGGTTTAATGGCGGGAAGTAATAAGTTCTTGGTGGGGCAGGGGTGTGGTGTGTTGGGTCCAAATGAAAGAATAATGAAAAATAAATCTCTACTGTTTTTTTCAGCCCTTTTTTCTTATTTATTCATAATATAAATTGTAATGAATTACACCTACAGCATCTTTATTTAAATCCAATGTCTACTCAGCAGCATTTCTCTTTATTCAAATGTATAAACCAAGTGTTAAACATAATTAATGTAGGGCATTTGAACTTTGTGTTTTCTTTAATAGACAGGAGTGCTATTAAACATCTTTGTAAATGCTAAAAAAAAAAAAAGAAGAAGAAGAAGAAAATGGTTTGGAGAAAAACTGATAAATATCAAAGCTACATAGATAATATCAAACATCAAAGAAAGAAGATAAAGCATTTGGATAACATGAGTCCCTAAAGGAAAAAACCAAAGCAAAAGAACAAACTTTGAAGACTTCTAAGTCAAGAAAACTTTCCTGGAGGGAAGAAAAAAAAAAGACCTGAAGCTACACTGAAAGAGCAAATCACATACTCAGAAATACCAACTCAGAATAACCAAAAACAGTCTAGTGAAATCTATTATATTTTAAGAAAAAAACAAAAATCTTATGAACATCTAGGCAAAAAGAACATACTCTATAAGGAAAAGAAAATTACACCATCATCTGGGTTTTTATGCCACTTTATGCCAAAATAAGATTTAAATACTCAAGGAAATGCTGCGAGCAAAGGAATATCCAGAAAAATTTACCTTCAAGTATAAAGGTCACAACAAGCTACTGTCAATACCAAAGAGCTTAGAGCGCTTGTTCCCACAAACCTTTCCTAGTTGATTACATCCCTTAGAACTGCTCCTCAGTATGGATCCAGCCCATCCCAGGAGGGAGCCCTCTCAGGTTGGTTTCCAGAGAACTGGGGTCTACGATCTACCAGAGGAGGAGTGTCAGATGATCCAAATGACTTTTTTTTTTTTAAACTGCTTTCAGCAATCATGATAGTGGTGATACTATTGATATTTTTAGTGTGAGACTACTGTGTGTATACCGTGAAACAGCAAATGAGATAGATTAGAATATTTTAATTCATCTTGAATCCCTGAAAACCAGGATTCTGGGTGTGAAAGAAAGGAGACAGAGATGTATTATTAAAGTCAAATAAAAACTCTATAGTCCTGACTTTGAACTAGAAAGATTAAAACTAAGTCACAAGGTATTATATCTTTAAATATATATATGGATATTCTGAACAAATTTACTGCACTGTCTTAAAAAACAATGATCACCACAGTAACAATGAGCATCCCTAAACACCCGGACAGCGACCTAGAAATTCCATTTTTCACTCAAAGAAACCAGAGCTTCTGAGAGAAAGGCCGATTCGAGGTGTGGGGCCAAAGATGTCCAGGAAGGGCCTTGGACACTTCGACATACCAAAGAGTAAGGAAGCAACAGAAACAAGTAGGGTCACGTCAGGACTCAGGAACTGCAGACAGGTTTCCATTAACAAAGACTGAATGAGCTGAGCTTTGAAAGAAGAACTGTAATGGATCAAAACCTGTGAAATAAGTTTAAATCCATGAGTTCCATATGAAATGAAAGGGGAAGAAAACCTCCAAAGGAAAAACTAATTGGTCACCTTCTGAGGAAGACCGTGAACCAATTCATTATCTTGAAAACTGGGTAAATAAAAGGGAAGAATCAAACGTTTACCCTGCTTTCCTGTATGAACTGTACTCCTGGGTAACTAAATAGCAGATAAAGAGGGAGGACCAGCTTACAACTTTTACCAGCTGAAAACGGAAAACAACTGATATCCAATAACTGCGCAAATTAAAAAAAAGAGAAAAAAACAGGCATCTTGAGACCTCATGCCTTGAGGGAGACCAGAGCTGGAGCTCTAGGCTTGTCAAAGGGTTGGAATCTGAATCTAATCACACTCCAGGATGCAGCTGCCAACTCGCAGGGAATCTGAAAGACAGAGAAGCAGGTTGAACTGGACCATGAGGGTGCAATCAGCAGAATCTGTACTGTTGGAAGCTTCAGGTCAGGCATCTTCAACAAGGAAAGGATGGAGGAGGAACTCCTCCTGTAGACTAGGAAAGACTTAAAGGACGTATCAAGCTCTTAAAACTTGGAAGAGCTCTAGCATCATCCAGAGATGCACGTTTGCATGATTAAAACCACAAAGAGAAGGCAAGGAGGTGAATTTACTGGTTACTTGTGGAGGGAGGGCCGGCTCGGGATTGGGGTGGGCACAGGAAGAGTCTGAGGGGGCTGGGAGAGTCCCACTTCTTGACCTGGGTGGTGGTCACAGGATGTTCACTCTGTCATAAATCTCTCAATTCACTTTTTCACTTAACTGTTTAGTGTGTTTTATAATTCAAAGGTGGTTTTTTTTTAAAGGGCAACATGACCAATAGTGCTGGAGATGAGGAGAGATGGGTCAAACACCCCTCTCTAAGAAAGTTTAAGGTTTCTGAGATTAAGATTTTGGCATTGGGGCTGAACACTGTTCCTCTCCCTTAGCAAAATGTGTCTGCAGCCATTCAAATGATCAATTTAGCAAGGCATGTTAAATGGAACAATTCCTTTTAATAGCAGCATATTTCTTTAATATGCTTTGGCTGCCAAAATCATGAGATCACAGGAGGAGTTATCCTCAGCCAAAAGTCCATGAGAAAAATTGGTAAATGTTTAAATGGCACAGTTCAGGAATTCATTTGTGTTTATGTAAAATAATTATAATTAACAAAGCCTTCCAAACAATGTTTCTAGGTCTGGTTCAGTGCACAGAAAACCAAGAGGGAGCTCCCCTAGTGCAGTTCTTGCAGCTCTCCACTGCTAAGTGAGAGGCTGCCTTAGGGAAGACCTGCCCCCATCCAGACCTGACTTCAGGACTCCACTTCCACACTCATGCTCAACCTTTCCAGCAGATGTTGGGATAGGGTTAAAAATGGATCCAAACCCATAATTACATTTGAAGGCTAAGAAGAACATAATCAAGAACAAGAAGCTTCACTTTCAAAAGTACTCCTTCCCTCCACCAAAGCCTGGTTTCACATATAACCTACTTTCAGAACCGAGGGAACATAAAGAACTTACTTTAAAAATCTTTCAAGTTGGATGTTTGTACACCTGCATAGAAAGGACTTTCTTAATCGGGGTCCACAAACATTAGCTTGGAAATAAGCACTTGCAAAAAACTCATTACTATCTCTCAGTATCTGTTTCATGTCCCATTTATCTGTATAACCTCTAGCATCATATTTCACTGGAATATGCAATTTATGATAACAATTTTGTCTGCCTTTTTGGTGGGGAAGGAGGTCATGTCATCCAATGGCATTCAAGGAAATACCTGAAAGTCACTTTACCTTTTCTAAAATCTTCCCAACCGAGCAGATGTGTTAACTGTTAACAAGGAAGAACACACACACGTACACACACTCATTCGAAAGAAGAAAAAAAGACAGCAGGGTACAGCTCCTTGATATAAGGGCTTGTAAAATGGTTTATCAAAGTTGAACTTTGATGTTGCTAAATTCTTACATAATACAATGGACAATCAAAGCTACCACGATTTTCTGCATTTCAAAGCTCCGTGCACACACTCTTGTAAGGCAGCATGTGAGCGCTGGCCCGCGTGCCCACCACACCACAGGGACTTACCATAACAGTGCAGTCCTCCGAGCCGCTGGCAATGACCTGGTCGTTGTGTGGGCACCAGTCTATGTCCAGCACTGGTCCTGTGTGGCCACATACTGTCGGGTAGGATTTGTCAATTCGACCAGTCTGAAAGGAGAGAGAAACAGATCTATTAAGTATCATCAAGGCCACAGAGTCTGTATGTTTTCTCAGAAAGATTTTTCCTTTATTACCTCTACCCCGAACTCTCAACACTCTACCAAAGACGTTCAGATCAGCCAACGTCAGCCAATAAGAACTGTCAACTTGCATTTCTAGAAATAGTTACTACTGAGGACACTCTATCAAACAAAAGGAGCTACATTTCCAGAACCAGATGTTTAATTAATCAATGGCATTAAGAGACATAGCAAAAAAGAAAAAGTCTTTTTACCAAAATACAATTCTAACAAATAGCTGAACTGTAAATTATAAGTGTTTCAACTGTTAAAAAAAAACCCTAGTATTACTCAAAGTGTAAAATATAATCTTTAATATAATAAGCTAATACCCTTGAATATACAAATGGATGGCACTGTGAGCAAACAAGTGAAGGTAATACAAAGAAAAGCTTTCAACACTGCTCAGGGACTGAAGGACATAGGATGTGCCAAGGTCTCTGCTGTCTTCAATCAACAGAAACGTCAGCCGGGCCTTCTAATTAACCACTTTAGCACTCAGTCATTAGCCAGATCCAGATCTCATTAAGAACACAACTTTTAAGATTGGTCATAGCAACCATCACAACGTGTTCATGTTACACACTCAAGCCAGTGTGGCTTATTGGACCAATTCTGTGTTAACCAAGACAAATGCTATTACAACAGGGGTATAAAAGCTACTTCCTTTTTAAAAGGTTAGCGCCAGTCCTTTCTGAGGTTCTTCTACATGTGCTAAATGCAGGAGGACAGAAAGGGATCATCACAGTGTAAAACCAAACCCTCTCCTGTTACGGCCAACTGTCACAACACAGGGACAGGCTTTTTGGAGAATGTTTGAGATCAGTAAATTTGGATTTCTCCACTGACTATGGAAATCTCCAGGGAAGCAGTGTGCTAAAGCAGAGATCACAGGGTCAGAGTCAGAGAGATATGGGTTCAAACCCAGGCTCTCTTGGTTAAACAGCATATGATCTCAGACCAGTAATTTATCTAAGCTTCAGCTCATCAGCTGTGAAATGAGTAATAAAAATACTTAACTCCTAGGATTACCACGAAGAGGAAATGAGAAACAAGGTAAATCATAGCTCAGCATTACAATGATCTATATAAGATCTATAAAAAATTATAGTACCTGGAATATAGTAAAGACTCAATGAAAAACTGGCATTTATTACTAGTTTTTCCTGCATATTAACTTACTCCATCATTAAGAATTACAAACGTGTGTTATCTGTGCACTTGGGCCAGACACTGAGCTGAGTGTTGGAGACACAGAGGTAGCAGGGAGGCCTGTCCCGGCTTAGCGTGGAGTCCACCTAAAGCTCCAGATACGGTGCAGCACAATACGGCTGGCACCAGGAGAGGCCCAGGGCGGCAGGAACACAGGAGGACACGCAACCAGAGGCATCGCGGCTAGTCTCTGGGAAGGTTTTCTGTTGAGAAGGGTGAGTTCTAAGTTGAGGGGCGAAGATGGACCAGCCTACAGACCTGAGGCCTGGGTTTTTTCACACACTCCCCCTTTCTCTAACAAAACTAAGTCAACCCAGAGTGTGGGTCTCCTGAATTAGTATTATAGAGAACCTGGGTCATATATGAGAAGCCATGTGGGTCACTGACAGGCCACGAGGCGGCAGAAGTCAGGGAGCAGGGGCCAGGGCTGGGGTGTGGCACTGCCACTTCCTCTCTGAGGCCCTGGCCGAGCCTCACCTGTAAAATGAGAACCCTAGAGTTCTTTCTTCCAGAACTGACGTGAGAACTGACTGACACAATCAAGGCAAAGCACTTCGAATGATCAGAATATGTTACCAGAATTCAACAACTGCTGGAACCCACTTCTATGAACATCCCTGCACATATCCTTCCTTAAAGAAGGAACTGCTACTCAGCACTGAAGCCAGCAGTGTCCACCTGACCCCCTGTGAGCACTCCTCCCTGGAGCTCCCGCCCCAGGTGATGGTCTACTGCTCAGTGCGCTGGTGGCAAACTCACACGTGTTTGTTTTCTAATGTTATTATAATATATTATGTACTATTATCACTATTTAAACTATATAGTAGTTATTCTCTTGAATGTGTGATATTTTATAATTTAAAACATTCTGAGACATGAAGCCCAGGTGGGATCTGATATACATTGCAACAGACATTGCAGAAGGAGAAGATGCAAGAGAGGCAAAAACTGAAGAGATGAAAGCTGAGGATTTTCCAGTTTAACTGAAGGTGAAGTCTTCAGATTGAAGAGGCACAAGACCCAAGGAGAATAACTAAAAACAAATCCACATCTATTCACATCCTAGTGCAATTCCAAAACACCTAAAACAAAGACAAAATCTCAAACAAAAGCAGCCCGAGAGAAAAGACAAATTACTTGGGAGAGAGTATGACTAGGTCAACTGTGGACAGACTTCTCAAAAGCAAGTATAGAAACAAAGATATGGGGAAAATATCTTGGAAATGCTAAGAAAAACAACCACCGGTGCATTCTATACCCAGATACACCATCATTCAAAAGTGATGGATGGCCAAAAAAAAGGACATTTTAAACAAAAAGATACTGAAAACTTACCATCTAAAGACTCTTATGCAAAGAATTAAGTTCTTGGACTTATTTCAAAGAATTTCAAAGTTAATTTCAAAGAATTAAGTTCAAGGACTTATTTCAGGGAAAAAAAAGTTAACCAAAAGAAAGATCTGGGATCCCAAATCAAGCAGTGAGCAAAAAACCTGGCAAACGTGACCAGTGTAAATGGGCACTGACTGTATAGAACAGTAGTAATTATGAGGAACTGCAGTAGAGGTAGGACAAGGCACACATTAACTTGGTTTCCAAGCACACATTAAATATTTATTTTTAAAATAACCAATTAGGATACCACAAAGTAACTCCCAAAAACTACCAAGGAATCAATATCCTAAAGTGCATGTTCTGAGTACAATGCAAAACAATTAAAAATTAACAGAAAAATATAAGCCAAAAATCTCCAATGCATCTGAATTACTAAATAATTCAGATAGAAAATCAAAACTGGCCAACAGCCAATAGAAAAAGGTTAAAAAAAGAAAAGCGAAAGTATAAGAAAAAGGTTAAAACTGGTCAGTAAATACATGCCATATCAAAACTTGTGGAATATAGCTAAAACAAATCTTAAAATTCCAGACAAAATAAGCCATCTCCTAGAAAATATGTGATGTATCAAAAGTTTTTCAATAAACAGGAAACCTAGAGAGACCCAGAACCATAAAAGAACCAGTACTGTAAACTCCATATATCACTGCCCACTCAAAACCAACCAGTTAGTAAATTCCAAATGTAACAGACCTGGATGGTTGTACAGATGAGTTTTAACCAACATTCAAGGAAGAACTCATCTCCAACCAACATTCCCAGAGAAGAGAAAATCAAGGCACACTGCTGAACCCACTACCTAAGGAATGTACCACCTGACATGAAGGAAACCTACAGGACATAAATATTGATGCAAACATCCCCCAAAACGGGGGGAAAATGTAAACTAAATTCAGCAGTGTGGGTTATTCTCAAAAATCATAAGTAAAAAGATAAGTTGCAGAATGGGAGAAGATTTAATATTTACATCTGTATTTGTACACTATTATATGCATGTATACATAAAATGTGTATCTGACAAAATCAACAACACTTTAACAGAATAAGGGGCAAATGACAGGAACAGGGATCCACAGGGAAGGAAGCCTGAAAAGCCAACAGATGTATGGAAAGCACTCCATCTCATTGGTAATCAGGGGACTGCAAATTAAACCAATAAGGTAATAATATTTGACCCCTATTAAAACTGGCAAGAATTTAGAAATCTAAATACAAGTGCTAGCAAAGATGTTGGGAAAGGGGAAGTCATAGAAACTGCGCCCAGGAGAGTATCCTGCCATAATTCCTTTGAGAGCAATCTGGAAACAACTGGAATGGAAGGTGCCCACCCCTCAGCAATACCACTTCTACATGGTCCGTCCCATATTTTGCACAAGAAGGGTATTCATGGCAGCACTGTTGGAAACAGTGAAAAAAGCAGAAGCAATTTAACTGCCCTTTGGTGTAAGAATAAACATCACTTACATAAAAGTTTAACACATAGAAAATAATAGTCTGTGTTATAGATATATGTACATGTAATAAAAGTACAAACATATGATGCACACCAACTTTGAGAAGATGATTACCTCTGGGGAAGAAGAAAAGATGGAAAGGGGAATGGTGTTTCAGCTACATCTGTTATGCGTTACTGGTTTTCAAAAAAAACAGGTATGAAACAAATATGGCAAAATTTTAACATCTGTTTAATCTTGTGGGTGAGTACAGGAGTGTTCTATTATGTATGACTTGCTTCCTAATTTTAAAAATAATTAAAATATAATAAAGTTGAGAAACACACTAATGTATTGCTACTAATTTACATTTTTAAAAAATCTTTAACTTTAGAAAGCTTTTCTACTCGAATTGTTTTATTTGATCTCAGGGTCTCTGCCTTCTGGGGCTCTCCCCAGCAAACCACCTGCGGCATTCTTAATGGTAGAGTACAGGCACTAAGCTCTCCAAAGCTAAGGGCAGCAAACAGCTTTTTTCAGTCTGGGCTAAGAGGAGCTTCTGCTTAGGTGTGCAGCAACAAGGGGAGGCTGGGAGTGCATTAACGCTGTGCTGTGTGTGCTCAGTTGCTCAGTTCTGTCCGACTCTCTGCAACCCCATGGACTGTAGCCCACCAGGCTCCTCTGTCCATGGGATTCTCCAGGCAAGAATACTGGAGTGGGTTGCCATGCCCTCCTCCAGGGGATCTTCCTGACGCAGGGATTGAACCCAAGTCTCCCACACTGCAAGCTAACTCTTTACTGGCTGAGCCACCAGGGAACTAGTTGTTCTCCCACACTGCAAGCGAACTCTTTACTGGCTGAGCCACCAGGGAACTAGTTGTTCTTATAT